ATGTTTATTTTAATAGATTGTGAGTGAAAACTGTTTTAACATTTCCCAATAAATCAAATATGATTTGATGACATGATTGTTTTTATAAAATTCAAATTTCCAAACTGTGATAAAAATGTTGTTAAAGGGCAGCCATGCCCCTTCATTTACAGACTGTGACTGCTTTGGACCTACAATGGCAACTGAATTCTTTTAGCATAATCTGTGTAATAAGAAAGGCCTCAAGAATTTACTCTCTGGGTCGTCATGGTAAAAGCTTGCCAGCCCTTGACACTAGGCACCTGTGCTGTTTGCCTAGAGAGTTAGCATTCTGAGCAGGCTTCCGTTGGTGGGGTGCCTGCTAGCATCTCAAAACTCAGGGTTCAACCCCTAGCTCCAGCTAAATCAGGCATAGTGGCTCTTACCTGCTATCCCAGCACTTGGGAGGTGGAGGCAGGAGGATCTGTGTTGAAATAAGGAGCGGCGGCGGGGCTGCGTCCCCAACACCCCGACCACTTGGCTAGCTTATGCCCGAAATAACAACACACAAACTGTATTCATTTAAGAACTGCTTGGCCCATGAACTCTAGCCCTTACAACTCTCGCACCTGGACTAGCCCATTTCTAATGATGTATGTAAGCACCCCAAGGTGCCCTTACCAGGAAGATTCTAGCCTCCGTCCATCCTGGTGTCTCTGCTCCAGAGCAGAGCTGTCGAGTCTACCCAGGAGAGCTGAGCATGGCGTCTCTGCTGGGCTGTAGGGTCTCTCTGGGAGCAGAGCAGAGTCTGACCTCACTTCCTCTTCCGCCAGAATTCTATTCTGTTTCCTCCTCCCATCTATCTTTTAACCTATCAGGGCCAAGCAGTTTCTTTATTGCTCAGCCAATGAAATCAACAGATTGATATGACACTCCCACATCACTTCCCCTTTTTCTGTTTAAACAAAAAAAAAAAGAAGGCTTTAACTTTAACGGAGCAAAATTACATATAACAAAACAGTTATCAAGTAAATTTTCAATAATCTATGTCATAACTAAGGAAAACTATAACTATCTATTCTTTAACTCCATCAAAGACTCCAGAAAGATATACAATTACCTAAGCAAACAAGAAATCAAAAACTCTATAAATGACAGAGACATCTCGCTGCCTGGACAGTCACCCAAAGTTCCTCTGTACCGTTAGGGCATCCATCTTCGGCCTACAGGCCCATAGTTTCCAGCAGACATCTCCACAAAGCAGGAAATTTCAAAGGCAGTCACTATCTGTTTGTCCTGAAGAATGTCTTGCAGACTCTTTCATGAATCAGGAACCCCAAAAGGTCATCTCACCTTTAGGCAAGTTCAGCAGTCCTCTCTCTGCGGGTTCTCTGTGTCCAGTTTATGCAATAGTCCAGGCAAGAGCAGTTTCTTGCCCAAATGGCTATCAAACTCCATAAGGATCCTCTTCGATGCCCATCTTCCTCTTGAAGTAGATTGGTGCTGCCAGGAGCAGAGTGTCTCATTGTCATGAAAAGTCCTAAGTTATTAAAACATTTAAAATGCCATATTCTATAATCTTTGAACAATATGAAGAATGCCTATCTAAAATATATCTATGCACATCTAGAAAATCTTAACTAACATGACTACAAATTTGACTATTATGATTATCTATTAACAACCTATATACATTACATTTTTAAATGAACTACACAATCACAATACCTTAATAAAGATCAGAAATACATATACATATAATAAAGTTGACCTTAAATCTCTATAAGTAAAGCAAAATCTATACTAATGCAAATTATTCATATCTATATCAGATCTGAAGTTTAAGATCATTCTTGACTGTATAGTAAGTTTAAAATGAATCTGGGCTCCATGAGATCCTGTCTCAAAAACAAGCTAGGAAGCCAGAAAATGCATGGAACCAAACTAGAGATTTGAAAAGTTCTTGGGACTTTCTGGAACTTTCCAATCACTTTGGCAAAGTAGCTGAGACAAATCTCCCCTTCAAGTGCATGCCTTCAATAGCCTGACTCTCTTTCACTAGGTCCCCACCTCCCAGTAGGGCCATGGCCTGGGGTACATTTAACATCACAGCATTTTAACATTTTTTTTAAGAGGATCATAAGATGTAGCCCTGGCTAGCTAGACTGGTCTTAAACTTACTACCACCATCCTCCTGCCACTGACTTCCAGACGCTGGGATTACAGGCATGTATCACCGTGCCCAATGTTTTTTATTACATTTTAAAAACTATGTTTTATCTCGAGTGCACGGGGATGGAAGAACACATATGCCGTGGTTTCTGTGTGTAGGTGTCAGAGGACAGCGTGTACAACTTGGTTCTCTCTTCCGTTATGTAGGTTCCGGAGATCAGACTTGAGTTATTCATTAAGTTTACTGAGTAATCTTGCTGGCCCCCCATGTGCACACACTTACAGGTGCACACGTGCAAAAGAAGATAGGAGGAAAGAAAAAGAAATGAAATTGGTTGACGAATGGGGGCATTTACCCCTATATAAAGAATGTACCTTTAATTCTTGCGTACAAGAGGCTGAGGCAGGAGGACTGCCATGACTTTGAGGTCAGGCAGGGCAAAGTTGAGACTCGTTAAAAGAAGAGGAAGAGGAGGAGGGGCAGGAATAATAATTATCAGGTTAAATTCTGTTTTGTTCTTTAATTGAGAATGTTTCTTTTCAGTGTGATTAAGCTATTTAATTTTCATCTATCCTGTTCTCCATTATTTCATTCTTCCTTTTCCTTTGAATTATTTTCTAAAGCATTTCAAAATAATTTACAGGAAAGAGTCAGCAGAAGATAAAGGGTCAAACTCATTTTTGTGGTGCGCACCTGTTGAAGGAAGGCCGCCTGTTGGTTCCTGGCTGCTCAGCCCTGAAATAATCACATATTATTTAAATCACTGCTTGACCCATTAGCTCTAGCTTCTTATTGGCTAACTCTTACATCTGAATCTAACCCATTTCTAGTAATCTGTGTATTGCCACGTGGCTGTGGCTTATCGGGTAAAGTTTCGGAGTCTGTCTCCAGCAGCAGCTTCAAGAGGAAGATGGGCATCGAAGAGGCTCCTGATGGAGTTGGTTAGCCATTTGGGCAAGAAACTGCTCTTGCCTGGACTGCTTGATGGTATGCTATGTGAACTGGACATACAGGACCCACAGAGAAATGACTGCTGAACTTGCCTAAAGGTGAGAAGGTCCTTCAGGGTTCCTGCTTCATGAAAGAGTCTGCCAGACACAGAAGAAAGTGACTGACAAACTGCCATTATAGGCAGAACTGTCTTTAAAATTTCCTGCTTCATGGAAAAGTCTGCTGGACACCATGGGCCTGTGGGCTGAAGATTAATGCCCCAACAATACAGAACTTTGGGTGACTATCCAGGCAAAGAGATATCTCTGTCATTTCCAGAGCTTTGGAAGTTTCAAACACTTCCTGTTTACTTAGGTAGTATTATATACTTCTGGAGTCTTTGATAGAGTTGAAGAATTTATAGTTATAGTTTTCCTTAGTTATAATAAAAGATTAAGTGGATATACATATTATAACTGTAATTCTTGCTTGATACCTGTTTTGTTATATGTAGTTTTACTATGTTAAAGTTAAAAACCTTCCTTTTTTATTTAAACAGAAAAGGGGAGGTGATATGGGATTTCTCTTTATGCTGTGATTATCATTAATGAGTAAAGAAACTGCTTTGGACCTATAGCAGGGCAGAACTTAGGTAGGTGGGGAAAACTAAACTGAATGCTGAGAGAAAGAAGGCTGGAGACAGACGCCGGAATTTACCCTGTAAGCCACAGTCACATGGCGATACACAGATTACTAGAAATGGGTTAAATTCAGATGTAAGAGTCAGCCAATAAAAAGCTAGAGCTAATAGGTCAAGCAGTGATTTAAATAATATGGTTTCTGTGTGATTATTTCAGGTCTTAGCTGCTGGGTGGCCGGGAAACAAACAAGCAACCTCTTACACACACCTTTAATCCCAGCACTGCAGAGCCAGAGTCAGAGCTAAGTAGATCTCTGTGAGTTTGCTGCCAGTCTAATCTTCAGAGCTAGAGTTCCAGGACAGCCAGGGCTGTGTAGAGAGATCCCATCTCAAAAACACAAATGGGGGGCGGGGGAGAAAAAAGAAAAAAAAAAAAGCTGAGCATAGTGTACATGGAGGCTGAATGTGAAGTTTGTGATCAGCCTGTGAAACTAAGTGAACGGAGCGTTAGTGAGCTTTAGTGTTATGCAGAGAATATACATCAGTGGAGTGCTAAGGCACAAATGGGCACCTGTGCACCCCCACCCACTAAAACTCAGGGACTATCTTGGAAGTGGAGGTGAAAAGATTGTTAAGAACCAGAAGTCAGGGAGAACCAGAGCAAAACCATTGTCTTCTGACACCACTGCCCGCTGTGTTTGTGAACGAACAGGGGCTATGGCTGCCTACACAAGATCGAGCCAGACAACGTTCCAGCACCAATGGGGAGGGGCTCATGAGCCCCCACCTAAGCTAAGGAGCTATTGATAGCTTCTGGGGAAGGGAAAGTTCCGTGGGAGGGAGGTGGGAGTGAATTTGGGAGGAGTTAGGAAGAGGAATGAGGTTGACTGTGCTCAAAAATACACTGTATGGGGTCTGGAGAGGTGGCTCGGCAGTTAAGAACATTGTTCTTCCAAAGGATCCAGGTTCAATTCCCAGCACCCACACGGCAGCTCACACCTGTCTGTATCTCCAGTTCCAGGGGATCTGACACCCTCATACCATACAGACAAAACACCCAATGAACATAAAATAAAAATAAATTAAAAATATTCTGTATGAATTTTTTAAAGAATTAAGGAAATTATGTTTTAAAAAGTTTCTGGGCATTTTTCTCTGTGTCTTGACTATGGATGAAAGAAAAAAAAAAAGGAAGATTGCGTTACCCATGACTTGTGTGTCCTGGAGAAGCTCAAAGACTTTGCAGTTTCTGAAATCATTAAAAAGCACTCAATACAGAAGAGCATCAGACTCTTTAAATAAAAAGCCATAAATTTATTGTAAATCTAGAAGTACCGGAATGTGACTCACACAGAACGGATCAGCGATCTGTGTTTTTCTTTTTTTCTTTTCCCTTCCCAACATTTACACCCGATTGCTGACATCCTGAAATCGGCATCCATTTTCTTGTCTCATGCAGTAAACAGAATAAACTTAAGAGTAGGTCCCTCAGAAATCAGTTATAAATATTAAATCGTATTGAACATTCGTAGTACAAAATAGGTCGTAAAGTGCTGAAGTCACGGACGTCTGCGAAACTGCCCACGAGGCTGAAGGCGCTTCTCGGGGCGGCCCCACAGAACTTTGCTACATCCACCTTGTGTAAGGTGTGTCCGTTTTTTTTTGGACAGACACTTTGTCAAGTCACTCACCCTCCCCAAAGTTTTACAGATTGTCCTATGTCTATGGCTGATAAGATGCTGTATAAAAGGTAGCCGGTGGCGACGAACTACGCCAACTCTCATCTTAGTGCAGAGAAAGATTCAAGCTTGTGTGTACCTGTAACCCAACTAGGCTTGTTCTGTGTTCCCCCTGAGTTGTCTCTTGAACAGTAAAGATGAGGAAATATTGAGCAGCAAAGCACCAGCCAACCCAGTCGGGGAGATGCCGTCCACCTCTCATCCTCGCCCTGCCCCCTTTACAGAGAACTGCTAGAATGCAGAACACGCCAACTTGCCAACAGCAGTGACCGGGGTACCTGGTACCCATGGCAACGTAGGACAATCAAGTTCTATGGAAGATGTAAATTGCAACTTGGAACTCGTGACAGTCAGGGAAACATTTCTCCGACTGCAGACGAAACCGGGAAATGCTTCCACAGTTAAAGATTGAACGACGACGACAAAGAAAACCACTGGAAATGTTCTAACAATTCATTGAACTGTAATTCTGACCAAAGAAGATCCTCAAGTATTCTTAGGTGATCATTTAAAAACGGAGGCGATTTGCCATCCATTAGCTCCCCCGCCCTTAAATAGCACACATTGCTTTTCACAATGCTGAAGAATCATTACAGCTTGGGCTGTCAGGAGATTGATGTCATGAGACAAGAAAAGATCTCTGAAGCCTCTAAAGAGCTGCAGAAGGGAGGTTAATAAAAAAAAAATCCTGTAAGCCAGGCGGTGGTGGCACACGCCTTTAGTCCCAGCACTCGGGAGGCAGGGGCAGGCAGATCTCTGTGGTCCACAAAGCGAGTTCCAGAAACCCTGTCTCATAAAACCAAAAGGAAAAAAAAAATCCTTTTATTCATTTTGATTATTAGATTTTTTTATGTTTAAATTTTTTGTGTGTATACATGTGTGGGTGCATGTATGTCATAGCAGGTGTGTGGGGGTCAGAGGACGATTCGAAGTTGGTACTCTCTTTCTACCATGTGGATTGAATTCAGGTCATAAATCTTGGCTGCAAATACCTTCACCCACTGAGCCATCTCACCGGCCCTTCTTTTGATCATTCTACTCAACCTAGAATAACTTAATAATAAATATCGATTTAAATTAAAGACACTACAGTCACTTATTTCTTGAATTATGAAAAACAATAGGAAACATGAATGCAATTTAACATTTCTATGGAAATACTTGTGGTAATGGCTGGTCATAAAGAGAAGTAGTAACCTTTGAAGTTCAAGTTGTTATATGTTTTTAATTTTTTGCATATTAATCAAATGCTTAGTTTTTTTAAGCATTGCTTTCTTTCCATGCAGTATTTAGGAAACTCAGAAGCCATCGTTTGTCAATTTAAACTTTAGTAGAATTTTTCAAATTGTTTAAAAAATAATTTGTTTGTATTGCTGAAAATTAGCAACGTATTTAATGATTCAAGATTGTTTTTTCTTTTTGGAATGGCCAATTCATTTCCATGACTCGGGCTGGATGTCGCTCTATAAAATAGTAGTTTACACACATGAACACGTTTAACACCAGTTTGCCAATTAATTCATGGCATAGTTTTGGTGTTGGGATGTGAACCAGCATCCTTCCACGTTATCTGTGTATTGCTACTGAATAGGGCTGAGTTCCTGTATGGAAGTGTTTGGTTGTTTTGGTTTTGGCTTAAAGAGCAAGCAAAAGGGACTTAAAGGAAAAGATGTTGGTACTGCTGCTCACACATGCATTCCCTTTCTGGAATGTGAAGGTGGGGTCCAGTGGTCGGCGCCTGCTCCACGGGCTCTTTTCCCAGGCAACATAGAAGCTGTGACATGAAAATGTGTCACACTGGATCCATTTTCATATGAACCCTGTGCTCGCATTTCCCAAGATCCATTTCGAGGAAGTCTTCTGGAATGTCCTGTAACGTCTTCCTGTGATGACTGTCTGGCTGGCTGTCCCCTGAATGAGGATGCTGACACAGACCCTTTTTACAAGGTCTCACCAGGGCGAGGCACACAGCAGCCGCGGACATGCCTGCTGCGCAGGAGTAGAAGGCCCTGCTGTAGATCTTGCTCTGGTCGACCAGTAGGCCTAAAAGAAAGCGTTGGCACCGTTAGTGACATCACTGCTACGCCTAGCCTCTCACTTGAGCTTCTATCCAATCCAAAAACTCCTTCTTCTCCTAGCATGATCTACCTACTACCGTGGTCTTATTATTTTATTTATTTATTGAGCAAGGTCTGACAAGTAGCCCTGAAATCTACTATGTAGTTCAGCCTGGCCTCAGAGTCACAGCAATGGTCCTCCGGAGAACCAGTGACTTCAGTCAGAACCTGTGTCTGCAAACCCAAGCCTCTCACGTGTTTTCTGTCATGGTGCCTTGTCGAAGGAAATCATGCAGGTTATAACCTTATTGCCATCTGACTTTTGGGTTAATGGAACTACAGGACCACTGTGAATCATTCTCACTTTTTTTCCAGGCAAGGTCTCTCTGTACAGCCCGGGGGACCTGGAACTCACTATGTAGCCCAGCCTGGCCTCAAGCTTTTAACTGTCTTGTCTCAGCCTCCCAAGTACTGGAATTATAGGTGTCCATCACCACGCTCAGTTCTTTTTCCCCCCTCTTAAGAAAGGTATTATTTAGGAGGCCAGATAGATGGCTCAGAGGGCCAGAGCTGCTCTTCCAGAGGACCTGGGTTCAACCCCTAGCCCACATGGTAGCTTGTGACTGTCTGTAACTTCAGTCCCAGGGCATAGAGTGCCCTCTTCTGCCTCCAGAGGCACTGTATGCTCACAGTACACATACATGTATTCAGGCAACACCAACATGCATAAAATAAAAATTACCACTGCCTTAAATTTTAAGGCTTTTTTGTTTCTTTCTTTTTAAAACCAAGGTTAACTATTGTGAGCTCTAATCTGGGAAAACTAAAATTCAACTCAAGTTTTAAAATGGAAGTAGACTTTACAATCGGTCCCATGAAGCAAGTCAGCACAACTAGGAAGATTAAAGTAGACAGGCTTGCATTCTGTGTTCTTAAAGTACCTGGCAGGGGCCATCACGATGGCTCAGTGGGTAAAAGGTGCTTGGTGCCAAGTCTGACAACCTGAGCTCAATCCCCAGACCCACAAGGTAGAAGAGGACCAACTGCCCCCAAGTCGTCCTCTGACTTCCACATGGACACGATGGCACAGGCAATACCCTGGCGCACGCACACCCACAAGTAAATAAGGAAAAAGCAATTTCATTACCTGCCAAGGGTGGTCCTGCCAGCCCTGAAACGCTCTGGATGAAGACATAGACTCCCGCCGCGGAGGACATCTTCTCAATGCCAACGACATCATCCTCGGCCAACAGTGGGATGTGGGTCCCTCCGATGGTCCCAACCATGATGCCAAAAAACACGCTACACAGCATGAGACCCCAGAATTCAGTGGCAAACGTGAAGGCGAAAAGAGACACGGTCAGTAGAATGACGCAGATGAGCTCAATGTAGATCTTCCGGATGGGCTCCCGGTTGAGGACAAACCCGGCCCCGATCCTTCCGAACACTTCAGCAATGGCCATGGTAGAGAGGAGAAACGCCGCGCGGTCGCGGTCAATGCCTAGACTGATACCCAGAGGGATGATGTACAGCGAAGGGGCGAAGAAGCCCAGCGTGGCGAAGAGGCCAAACAGCGCGTAACAGATGAAGCTTTTCTCTTTCAGAATGGAAAAGTCTAACAGCGGGGCTTTCTTCTGGCTGTGCTTGGGGACAGCCACCAGGGTCTGCTGCTGTTCAGCCCTGGCTTCCTGCTCCGTGGGAGCTTGACTAGGCACGTTTTTCGGTGAGGTAGTTAGTTCCACTCCTGAGTCGATGGAGTCTATTGAGGTTCTCGTTTTCTCATTTTCAAGCATATATTGCACTTCCCTCCGGGGTTCGTGAGCGGTTGTTTTCGGTGACCCTGGTCCTTTGATAATGATTGGTCTCAGCAAGGCGCCGCAGACCACGATGTTCAGCTGCAGCAGGCCCACGAAGAGGAGGCTGTATCGCCAGCCAATATGCTCCTTCAGAGCTGTGATGGCTTGAGGAGGCAGAAGCAAAAGAAAGGAAAAGCCAAGGTCAATAACAGACTCCCAGATCCAGCAAGCAATTCCCTGAAGAAATATGGATAAAAATTTAATAACAAATTTTGCTCAAAGGTAGGGTGAATGCAGACATTCTAGGCTATAGTTTGAGTGGGGGTGATTGGCAAGTATGTGCTTGCAATGTGGAGGTCAGAGGCCAATGTTGGGTTGCTGGCTGTCTTTCTTGATTGCTGTCTTTTTTTTTTTTTTTTTTTTTTTAAATACAGTGATAGGGATTAAGTTTAAGGCTTTTCTACCACTGAGCTATAGTCCTCGCCTCTTTACTCTTGGAGACAGACTCTCTTATTGAATCTGGAATTCAGGAAGACCAGTTGATCCCAGGATCCCTCAGTTGCTATCTCCCCATTGCTGGGAACACAGGTATGTGCCACCATACAGCTCACCTAGCATGCTAAAGTGGTCGAGCGCTCGCCTGGTCTGCTAAAGTGGTCGAGCGCTCGCCTGGTCTGCTAAAGGTCCTGAATTTGATCCTCAGCAAGGACAGGGCAGGGCAGGGAACTGGGGAAGGAAGGAGGGAAAGAAAGGAATCTGGGTGAGGAAGGCTACCTGTCCACTACATCACTTTCCTTGTATTTCCTGTATTAACATTAAGTTGGGGGAGATAAACCAGGGATAAAGTGTTGGCTGCAAGATTATTCGTGGGCACACAAGAAAACTGATTTTTGTCGGCATGATTTAAATCTACAGTGAATGTAGCTCTTTTGGAAAGGGGATGATAATAATATAAACAGTCCAAATTACTAAATAACGTAGGGATTATCGTTTCGTGTTTCGAGAAAGCCTTACCACTGATTATGTCCCCATTTATGTAAAACGCGGACTAAGATTAACGCGGTGTGAATTCCTAAAATAGGGGAGGAGGAGGAGGAGATCCTAACAGCGCGCTGAGGAGAGCGCAGTGACAGCTCCTTATGCAGAGGGAGAGTCACCCACATGGTCGGAACTTGTTCGCACAGCAATAGCGCCTGAGTGGCTTACCTGGCCCCTCGCTCATGAGCCACTGTCACTCACTTACCTGGTGCAAAAGCAAACACAGCAAAGCATTCTCCTGTGGACGCCACAGCAGTGACCACTGAACGCCTTTTGTCAAAGTACTGTGACAGGATGGTGACGGTTGGGAGGAAGCTAAAGCAGTACCCCAAACCTGTGGGCGACAATCAAAAAGGGCGAGTGAGGACCGTCCATGGTCTGAGCCTGGAGGGCTGGCTAGCGTACAGGAGCTTTGTACGAGTTCCGGGAGCCAACCCATTCATCCTGCAGAAAACGACGGCAAAGAAAATGGATTTCATCTCAGCCCTGAAGGGCGGCGGGTGTAGCTCAGTTGGTTTAGTACTTGCCTAGCATGCACAAAGCCCTGGGTTCAGTCCTCAGTACCCAGAGAAGTAGGCATAGTAATTAATGCACATCTGGAACCCCAGCACCCAGGAAGGTCAGGAGTTCAAGGTTACCTTTGGCTACTGCACAGTCACTTGGAGGCCAGCCTGGGATACAGGAGGTTGCCTCAAAAATAAATAAAGAAATATTGCAACAGTCATTTAGAGATACTAAGATATAAAAACTAAGAACTGGCCGGGCGGTGGTGGAGCAAGCCTTTAATTCCGGCACTCGGAAAGCAGAGGCAGGTGGATCTCTGTGAGTTTGAAGTCAGCCTGGTCTACAAGAGCTAGTTCCAGGATAGGCTCCAAAGCTACAGAGAAACCCTGTCTCAAAAAAAACCAAAAAAGAAGAACCAAGAACTGTTCTCCAGAGCTCCCCAAATTTATATAATTCACAGTGGAATCAATGATCAATAGTAGTTTTTATGTAATATTTGTATTTGAAATAAATGTCTTTTTTCCTTTATTCTTTTGAGACATGTAGCTCAGGCTGGCCTCATGCTCATGTTCTCCCTGTCTGCGCCTCACCGTCAAGTGCTGAGATTATAGCATGTGTCATCCTGTCTGGTTAGCATAGGCTTTTGATGTGTGCAGGGCTCCATACAAAATTTAAAAATTGCAAACTAGGCATACACACACACACACACACACACACATATATATATATCACCCACCATCAGTGCCTTCTTAGACACCGCCAAGACTAAGTGCAGCGTACTGTTTTCCCCTTACGAAGCTCTGGGTGCTTGGAACCCGAGAATGTATTTTTACCCGGGACCCATATCACCTGGCTCAAAAATCACTGATCTCAGACATAGTTAACTTGAAAGAAAAACAAAGGAAAAGAAGAAATACAATTCGGGTTCAATTTCCTCCCTTCCTCAGAGAAGCATGCAGAGAGAACTTCCCAGGCACGGAGAGAGACACTCACCCGAGATGACCCCGATGGAGATGTACATGTGGTAGACCTTTTGGGAGAAGGAGGCAGCAACCATTCCCGTGCTGATGAGCAGTCCTCCTGCCATTACCACCAGCCGATGTCCAAAGCGGTTACTCAGGACTGTGGAGAGGGGTGCTGCAGAGGGGGAAAGGGACAGAAAGTGACCTGTGAACTCGGGCTTCTGTGCTGGCTTCGCTGCGATTCCTTCCTGCAAGCTGTGGACTTGAAGGGGTTGATGTAAGAACCTAGTGTGTTTCCTGCAACAGCTATAGGTCAGGCCAGAGGTTACTTCAACATTCGCTTCAATTTAAAACACAAAGAGCCAGGCCCTGGTACAATGCAATCTCAGCTACTTAAGAAGCTGAGACAGGAGGATTGCAAGTTCAAGGCCACCTTGGTTGGGGTGAGGGTGGGATGCAGCTCTCACGGGCAGAGCAGTTGCTAGCAGCAGCCAGGTCTTAGGTTCAATCCCCCACTACCTTAACAACAAATTAACAAGAAGAAAACAAGGGGCTGGGGTAGAGCTCAGGGGTAGAGCGCTTGCCCAGCACGAGCAAAGCCTTAGATTAAAGCATCGACGGGGGTAGGTATACAAAAGACATTTTTAGGTGAACTGTCTTGGCTTGCCATGTGAAAGACAAAGTTACGTATGTATTTCTTTAGTTCTCCAGCATATACTGGCTTTCCTTGGGGATCGCTCTAATTGTTTTTATTTCCTGTCATCCCTGCTTCAGATTCTTTTAAAAGAATCCCATCTGTGGTCCTTTGACTGATACAGGACGGGGATAAGGCCAATTCTCAGACATGTTCACTTAAAAGACGATGGCAGAGCACTGAGGAATCTTAGTTTGCTTGACTTCTATACTCTCCATCCCCTGGGACACTGAAATCTAGCAAATTCTTTCCTCCTTACGTGCTATTTAACGCTGGCAGGAGGGACAGTAAGCTATGTGAACCGCTGAGAGTTGCGTCAAAGAGGCACACACTAGACAGAAAGGATGGGAGGGGAAAGGAAGGAATTCTGCACTGTTAGGATTCAGAATGTAAACATACATTTTTTTTAACTCCTAAAATTGTATGTGTGTATGTATGCATGTATGTGTGTTGTCTGTGGGAGCACCGGCGGTAGCTGGAGGACAGCTTTTGGGAGCTGTTTCTCTGCTTCTACCATGTGGGTTTCAGAGATCAAACTCTTATCACCTTGGCCACTAGCACCTGCAAGCTTATGCTGGCAGATGCTGATACAACGACTTCTATATAGTGAGATCCTCTCTCAGAAACAAACTGACAGGAGAGAGAGCATCCTTTTAGGAGGTTACATGGCTAAAATGAACTGCATTCAGAGAGTGGTTCTAACCTCAGCAGTAACCTCACAGGCGATGCTGTGCGGCAGTGGTGTTGAGTCAGGGAAGCGCTAAGGGCAGCCTCCTGAGTGCTGGGATTAAAGGCGTGCTCTACCACTGCCCAGCCCAAACACACACATCCATGTACTCACCTGTAAATGTTAACACAAACACGCATATTGATATTATCCATGAGATCTTGCTGTTGGATTCATCAAAACTGTCCATTAAGTCATTAAAGAAGACACCGAATGACTTGATGATGCCATAGGTAAAGACTTCCACAAAGAAGAAAGCAACAGCTATTGCCCAGCCCCATCCTCCATCAGGCACTTGGGTATACTCATTGGCTCTGGAACAAAGCTTTGAATTCTTTTGGGTCATTCTTGATCTGAAATTAAAACAGGAGAGAAAGAATTCAGACTAGCCTGGAGGGTTGATCATTCTCCTCTCTCCTCTTCATCTTTGTCTCTCTTGTGAGACAGAGTCTCACGCCAGACCAAGCTGGCCTTGAATTTGAATTCGTGACGCAAGGATGATCGCTTCTGATCATCTTGCCTCCACCTTCCAAGTGCTGGGATTAAAGGTCCAGGCCACCACACCCATCTGATTCTAATCATCTTTAGTAAACACCACTGGTAAGAGCTATTTACTAAATATTTAAATCATGCAGAGTTAGTATAGTCTTATGCAATTTTATATCTATCTTTGAATTATACATGGGGCCCAGAAAGAATTTGAAAATAAGGCCTGTCATAATTAAAAGGGAGAAACAATAAACAGAGACAAGGAGCCAGAGATTATTTGAAGGCCCTTTGAAAGACACCAAACATTGGTGCTGATATCCAAGAATATAAATCAGATGTAGAAAATGAACTGGAGCCAGGCATGGTGGCACACCCAGCACTCAGGAGGCAGAGGCAGGTGGATCTCTGTAGTTTGAGACCAGCCTGGTTTACAAATGGAAAGCCAGGGCTACACACACACACACAAAAACAAACCCTGTTTTAAAAAAAATAAATAAATAAAACAAAAACAAAAAACTAAGAAAGAAAGAAGGAAGGAAAAGAAAGAGGAAGCAAACACTGAGGGGATTGGCCACACCTTCCACGAGACAAGCTTGTGACTTCCTATACATTTCTCCTTAGTAGCTCTGACCTTTCAAGTCACCCAGCCAACCCTTCTAGCTCCCAATTCTCCTTCAGCAAACAGCATCCAGATTACTGTTCGTTGTCCCACGTAGACGTACCTTCCTGGACAGAAGGCAACTCTCTGTCCGTGAAAACCTAAGTGTTTTCTGAATTTAGATTTTGTTCCTCAAAGTCCACACATGACAAACACTTAAGATTGGCTAAACGAGGCATTCCAGACCTGTGAGGCCATTAGCATGTCAACTTCAGTTACTTCTGATCTCGTTATGGCTTTCTCTCCAAACAACGGAGTACACAGTCCTGAGTCTTTTTTGTTGTTGTTTTTCAAGACAGGGTTTCTCTGTAGCTTTGTTGCCTGTCCTGGAACTAGCTCTTGTAGACCAGGCTGGCCTCGAACTCCCAGAGATCCGCCTGCCTCTGCCTCCCGAGTCCTGCACCACCACTGCCCAGCAACAATCCTGAGTCTTAACACAGCTAAAAACACTAATTTAACGCTGGAGGGAGACGGGTCAAGTTATTGTGGAGACAAAAATACCCTGATAAAGGCAATTTAAGGAAGAGTGGGTTTCGTTTGGCTACAGTCTAAGGATGCAATCCATCAAAGGTGGGGAAATCTGGAGCTGGAGAGTTGGTCACCCAGAGTCACGAAGCAGAAAGCAATGGCTGTCTTGGCTCAACCCATGCTCTCTTTTATGCTGCTTCAAGAGGGCCCCGCCCAATTTAAGGAGGGGCTTCCTAGTCAATTAGCCTAATCCTTCACAGACAAGTGTCTTCTGGGGATTCTAGAGCCAATGGAGTGATAAGATTAAACTATACGCCAGGTGGTGGTGGCACACGCCTTTAATCCCAGCACTTGGGAGGCAGAGGCAGAAGGATCTCTGGGAGTTCGAGGCCAGCCTGGTCTACAAAGTGAGTTCCAGGACAGCCAGGACTGTGACACAGAGAAACCCTGTCTCACAAAATTAATTCTGTGCATATGTGTGTGTGCCCATGTGTCTATGCATGTGTGTGGAAGTCAGGGGACAACTTGTAGAGGTCAGAGGTCACAGCCTGAGAAGCACTGCACTAAGCATGCTTGTGGGAAGTCAGAGGACAACTTTCAGAACTCAGTTCTGTCCTCCCACAGTGTGGGTCCTGGGGATAAGAAAGGCAAGTAGTCAGGCTTGGCACAATGGAAAGCAAACACCTCATCGGCTCCTGGTTCACAAGTCTTAACCAGCGACATATCAAACCCAGTTTATTCTCATTCAGCCTATTGATCTTTCCCCCATGGTAGTCTGGTATTTGAAGGAGCTATGTCCTCACGTTCTCAAATTCTGGTCCTGTTAAGTATTTGGCTGAGGGAAACAGGACATGGGCCCTGTTAGGAGGCCCAGGCTCACTGCAGCAAAGGTCTTTGCACGCTGTCCACAGTGCCTGAGAATGAACGAAAAGGCAGCAGAGGCTGGGGAAGAGCTCCAGATTGGAGTCTGGGCCATTTCAGGGCAGCTATTAGCGTCCTGGGCATGGAAAGTATTCCATCTATGATAGGAGTTGCCAGCAAAGGAGGTTTCTCCAACACTCCTCCTTCATCGGCCTTTCCAAAGTCACCCGTGAAGGTGGGCAGCTGGGGCAGAAGACCGCACACAGCCATCGAGCACTTCCTAGTGCTGGCTTTGAGACAGCGGTCGTCCATGGGGAAGGGAGGTCATAGTGGTGGTAAGTCAAGGCCTTGGCTGTCATTTAATCCATCTCTTGGACCTTCTCCCTGTGAAGTCCACAGGTTCCTCCAGGCTAACATTGCCTTGCTAGGTGTGTGTGTGTGTGTGTGTGTGTGTGTGTGTGTATGTGTGCTTGCCAATCGCTTTACTCTTTCTGAAAGATAAAGCCTACTAAGGAGCCTCGCTTTCTGTGCGCCTCATAATCAGAGCCGAGCCTATCTTCAGTAGCCTTTTTCCTTCTGGTGGCTCTTGCTGTTTCCCGCTACCTTGCCTTTAGCCGTCATTTCTTCAAGCTGCAGGCGCAGTCTCTACGGCTGCCGTGGTACCCTCCACAGTCCTGCTCATTCTGGTTCTCCTTTTCCATCAGGCCTCCTCTGGCAAACTCAGCTAAGGTGGTCTGATCTTCATTGGGGAGGATAAGGTGGTCTGATCTTCATTGGGGAGGACCACATAATGGGGAATTATCTCCTTTCATGCCTTTGTCTTATTTATTTGCTCAATTAGATTATAAGGTCTCAAAATCTGATTTTTATGTCTTGACTATTAACTCACACCTAGTTTTTCTTTCTTTCTCTTTTTTTGAGATGGGGGATCTCACTATGTAGCTTTGGCTGTTTGGTCCTGGAACTCACTCTGTAGACCAGGGTGACCTTTAAACTCACAGAGATCCTCCTGCCTCCGACTCCCGAGTGCTGGGATTAAAGGCGTGTGCCACCACCACAAATGTAGCTTGAGCTGAACTGGAGTTCCCCATCACCAGAAGGCTGTATCCAGACAACCTCAAAGTTCCTCTTGCAGCAGCTCACACTACTGTTTAAAAAGCTGGGTGAGGCGAGGACCAACCAACAGCCTTCAAATGAAATTAGAATTACAGGAGGCTGAGGCTGCAAGGGAGCCCAAAATCAGCTTGTTCTCTTCCTCATTGGCAAAACAGGGAAACAGGTCCAGGAAGGTAAAGGGTTTTGGCCCAAACAATCCAGAATCAGACTGTCCAAGCCAATGGACAGTCTACTAAAGGCCAGGGAGGGAAGTGCTTTCCAAGTTCATTGCGAGGAAGGCATTTTTGTCAAAGCATCTTTGTTTTGACAGTCTCACTTAGCTCAGGCTGGTCTCTTAACTGCTATGGATGACCTTGAACTTCTGACCCTTCTGTTCCTCCAAGACTTCCTAAGTGCTGGGGTTGTAGGCGTCAGCCATGACACTTGGTCTATGTGATACCAGGGACCTAAGGCTTCGTGCATATCAGGCAAGCAGTCTAACACCTAAGCTACATCCCCAGCCTGACAAAAAGCACTCTTCAATTTTTTTAAACATTATATTAACTTATTTATTTAAAGGTATGTTTGGGAGGAGTGGGGTGTATTCATGCCATAGCTCACAAGTGGCGGTCAGAGAGCAGCTTGTGGGTGTTGGCTCTCTCCTCCCACCAGCTGGGTTCCTGAGATTGAATTTAGGTTGTCAGTTTTACCCACTCAGCCACCTCACCATCCCCAAAGTGTCCTTGACCTCCATATACAGAGGTCTTCAACTGCTTAGCCACGCAACTGTGTGATTTGAGCTAGTCAATTCCCACCTCCTCCACACTCTTCAGGCAAAGGAAAAGCAACTGGGGAATCTCTTGGTTGTTGTTTAATGAGACGGGGGTCTCTCTACGTAGCCCTGACTGTCCTAGAACTTGATGTGGACACAGACCAGGTTGGCCTTGAACTCATAGCGGTCTGCCTGCCTCTGCCTCCTAAATGCTCGGATTAAAAGCGTGCTCCACCAAAGCCAGCAGTGACTGGAGACGCCCCTGCATCACCCAGCCAACACTGTCTGACTTAGTCTTTAACTCTGTCAGCTGACTTCTCAGGCTGAACCTAGTGGGTGGCCCTAGGAAACTGAGCTAAGAGGAAAAACGCGAACCCTGGAAGGGTCTTGCCCAAGTGGGCGTGAAGCAGCTGGACATCAGATTTGATCTGTGGCAGCAGCCAGAAGACAGTCGACTTCTGGCTTCTGTTTATTTTCTGAGCCCCGCTGGGTGATTGTGCTTTGTTTGTTTGTTTGTTTGTTTATTTATTTGTTTATTTATTTATTTATTTAGCTTTTAAGCCTGTCCTGGAACTAGCTCTTGTAGACAAGCCTGGCTTCGAACTCACAGAGGAGATCCGCCTGCCTCTGTCTCCCGAGAGCTGGGATTAAAGGCGTGTGCCACCACCGCCCGGCCTTTACTTGCGGCTTTTAAATCCTGCTTTCCTTCTATGCCTCTCTGTTCTGGTTACAACCAAATATAACTTTCACTTGCATCTATGATATAGCCCCAGCTAGCTTCCTGTCTTAGCGTTTCACGTGCTGGAATTAAAACCACAGACCAACCATGCCCAAGTAATCCAGGTTTAAGGGGAACAAAACTTGCTTCCTTGTTCCTGGGATCATCATAAAGGTAAGATGACCACACCAAACTAACTCCGAAGTTTATTCCTTTATGAGTCTGGAGCGTCCTGTGTCCTACTATTATATGTGAGCTGTAGAGCCGGGCGGTGGTGGCGCACGCCTTTATTGATTAATGACAGAGTGGAAGCCTTACTGGGAGATGACGCGGGCACGCAATATCTAAGACTGAACAGAAGATCTTGGGCGTGGTAACAAGCTACCTAACACGTGGGGAGGTGGAGGCCCGAGTGTCAGGAATTCAAGGTTACCTGTGGCTATGTGGCAAGTTTGAACTGGTTTGGGTTGAAACGAGCCCTCCCTCTTTCAACACCAATGGGGGAGGGGGCAGGGATTGCACGAGGCAGGCAATCAGCTCCTCTCCCCAGACCGGCTGCCTGTATAACATTGTGTGTTTCACATATGCTTGCTAAAAGTTTACCAAAAACAAACAAAAAAAAAACAACAACAAACAAACAAACAAAAACCAAACCAAAAAAAAAAAAAACCAAACTGGGTATTGTGGTCCACTCAGAAGACTGAGGCAGGAGGATTACCGGCTTGGTTACACAGCAAGACACTGTCTCAAAAAAAAAAAAAAATTAAAGTTCAGTCTGGGCTACAGGACTGTCGACCTTCTCCACCCCCCAAAAAAATAAACAGCCCCCCAAAACAAAACAATAACTATTAAAACCCAGCAGAAACAAAAACAGGCCCCGTCAGAGTTTTCTAAACACAGTAAGAGTCTTGGGACACCCCCAAAGCAACGCACACCTAAGATGAGGAAGTGTCTGGCTCCTGAATAAGCAGTTTCTTCAGCTCTTCTCCCCCTCTGCCATTTGTTCAGCAGGCTGTCTAGCTCCACAGACTGTCATACTGAGCACAAAGCAACTGAAGCCTAAGTCTTCAACCTGACCACTCAAGAGCCTCTCTAAGTAATAGAATGTAGACGGCCCGCCCCTTTGGTTTATCGGTTGGTATGGCGGGAAGGGCCTTGTGGGCATCTAACTGGCAAGGCTGCTTAAGCAACCTGACGATCCCGGGCGACCACCTCACTTCTTGATTTTCAGCGTTCACAACACGTGAATTCTGAACCTAATTAGAGTCTGAGTTCAGATCTTTCCTCCTAAGGAGAGGCAATTTCAAAGATGGCCTTTGACCGGGACTGGCTCTGAGTCACCATCTACGGGGAGGCCAGCGGGTTTCTCTTCTGGAAGCCCTCACTCCCGGGCAGAAACAGTTTCATCTGTGAAAGCAGTCTCTGGTACTATCTGACTGGGATGCTCCACTAGGCTGACTGGCTTCTTCCCAAGACCCCCAGTGTCCCATGATATATTTCCTAGTGGCTTTTGGCTCCCGCATTGTCTCCTTCAAGAAGGACAAAGGAGAGAATGTAAAATAAAACCAGCCAAACGAATCAAAATGGAACGAGGTTCCTTGCTCATAGACCTATAGACACTGCACTCAGGAAGCTGCGGCAGGAAGTGAGCTATGAGTTTGAAGCCAGGCTCACTCACACAGTGAGTTTCACAGGCCATTTCGGGGCTACTCTGTCTCACAGAAGGGGGTGAGTGGAGGAGGCAAGCACTAAATAAATGGATATCCCACAAGACTTGGAGATACATGTTACCTGGGACTTTCACTGTACTTTAATATGCTGTTGTAAGGATTTGGCATGAAGGCAAATACTGGATTATCATACAGCTCTGGGGTTAGCCTAGGGTCAGTGCCGGTCGAAGTTCAAAAGACTGACTTGGAAGGCAGCGAGATGGCTGCTGACATCCGCAGAACCAAAGCACTGGGAATCTCCTCCAAGGTGTAGCCTGGAGGATACGGCTTCTGACAAGTTGTCTCTAGTCCCAGTTGTCCAGACCAGTCTAAGTAAGAGTGGGGGAAGTTCGTTTGAAGTCTCCATTTTATTTTATTTTATTTTATTTTATTTTTTTATTTTTTGATTTTTCGAGACAGGGTTTCTCTGTGGCTTTGGAGCCTGTCCTGGAACTAGCTCTGTAGACCAGGCTGGTCTCAAACTCACAGAGATCCGNTCTCTCTCTCTCTCTCTTCCTCTCTCTCACTTTCTCTTTTATTTTTATCTTATTTACTTTTTTGAGTGTATCTCTTGGAGCCCAGGCTGGCTTTTTTACTGGCTTTATGTTAGAGGATGACCTTGAATTTTAGATTTTTTTTCTGTCCCTGCTTCCAGAATTCTGGGATCATGGATATATTTCACCACACACAGTTTATGGAATTCTGGGGGCGAAACCAGGGCTTTGTGCACAGGCCTGCTAGGCAAGCGCTCTATGAACTGAGTTATAGCCTCGGCTCTGAGTTTCCTAATTCATATGTACTTCCAAGTGTGAAAATCGTCGGTTAGATGTGGTTTTTTTGTTTGCTTGATTTTTTTTTCTTTTTTGTGAGATGGGTAGGGATGAAATTACGGCCTTGTACACACTAAATCGGCACTCTGCCAATGAACTGCACCTCCCAGCCCTAGATTTTCTTACCAAAACCATTATGACTAGAATGTACAGCGACGTGTTTCTATTAATTCTTTGGAACTTTTTTGGCAGCGTTTAATTATGAAAATTACAAATATACAGAAAAGTGGAAAGCATGCTGTAGAACCGGCATATGTTCACCTAGAGCCTGTTATAAACTTGTTTTTCATAATTCTCTTTTTTTCCCCCTAAATTAATTTCTCTGGGGGAGGCTGTTTGTTTGCTTTGAGAGTGTGTCTTAGTTATCTCAGGCTGGTCTCTAACTAGCTGAGGATTACCTTAAGCACCCGGTCCTCTTGTCTCTACCTCATACATGCTGGTGTCATAGTCAAACACTAACCACACCTGGTTTAGGAGGTGATGGGGGATCAAACCTAGGACTCTGTGTATGCAAGGCAAGCATTCTACCAACAGAGCTATATCCTGAACTCCTTCTGTGAAGAGTTTCCTTTTCTTCTCTCTCTCTCTTTCTCTCTCTTTCTGAGACAGGGTTTCTGTCTTGAACAGCTCTGGCTGTTCTAGATCTCAGTCTGTAAACCAGGCTGGCCTCGAACTCACAGAGATCCGCCTGCCTCTGCCTCCCGAGTGCTGGGATTAAAGGCGTGCGCCACCATCGCCCGGCTGAAGTCTCTATTTTAAAAAAACAAAACAAAACCCCACTCTAACCTGGTAAGCTGCCTCAGCCACGTTGTATGAATCACTGGCTACAACCAATTCATCCGTTTTGCAAGACCATTGAGTTGAAACCCAAGCCCCTAATTTAAGTGTCTTCCCCGGGAGTTCCACTGAGGAAAAGTCCTGTTTCTGGAAACCACAGAAGGAAAACTCAGGGCTAGTGGTACTCATTAAGACCATTTTTCCACTTGGCTGCATTGTTTATTTACGAACTGTCAGTTTCTATCTTAGACGCCCTTCCCTTCATTGCCAGAAAAGGTGTTTCGACGGTGTCCCCACCCTCACCCCCCAGAGCCACATAATAGCGCTGGTACACGGGGAGATCTCAGCACAGGATCTGGCAGTTTCTAGCAGTTAAGACACTCATCGGTACGGTTTTTCAAAAACAGTCAGATCACGGAGGCTGAAATCTCAATCCAAAGGTAAAAGCCTCCTTCCGCAAAAGGAGCTGGCACAGCGTCTAGCTGTGCAAACAGAATCAGGTTAACAAGTTGTAATTGCGTTTCCCCAGTTGGAACCAAGAGCTTTTTCTACGACCCTCCCCCCACCCTCGTGTTTGATGACATTTTACACGCCACCTAACAAACTTCTATCACTTGTCTGCTGAGTTGCAGGGAATGAAAACAACCAAGAAGGAAATTAACCTATTTCCTCTACAAAATCGTTTTTTCCCTCCCCGCCTGGAGCCGCTCAGCTCAGACACTTCGCTGCAGCTGGTCGCCCCGCGAACCTTGGAAGTTGCGCGGGACCGGCTGGCAGTGGGTGACAGTGCAGACCGTCAAGGTGTGGGACCCACGCTCTGAGGAGAAATCTGCCTCCCCCTAGGATCGCCCTTGGGAGTGGGGTAATAGGGGATGGAGACCCGGAGTCTCTCTTTTCCTCGCGCTGCCTCAGTGGCCGCCTTGTGTGTGCGCGCGCGCGAGCTTGGGGAAGGAAGGTACCTCTCTTTTGACATTTCGCTCTGGTGACGCGCAAACAACTTCATGTGGAAAATCCACAGACGATCTGAGACGGTTGCCGGACTCTCTTGACTTCACAGCCTAGGTCCTTTCACCCCGGTTTGGGGACGATCAAAGCCCAGGCGACCCTTTAAGGTATTTCCCAGAACCCATCTGTCTAGGGTCATGGACATTCAACTCTCAGCTGCCCACAACTGCCCGAGAGCGCGTCACGCTGGTGGCCCCCCGCACTCCCAACTGTCAGAATATTTTTCGGATTAACCTCTTCAAAATGTTAAAATGTTAAGTGCTTTCCTCCTCCTCCCCGCCCTAAAAAAAAAAAAAAAAAGGCCCCAAGACATATATTTAAAACAAAACAAAAAACCCCAAAAAATCCATACCCCCACAATCAAACTTTTAAGCATGTAAAATAATAAAAAAAAAACCAACTCACCAAGTTAGAAGGGAAGAGAATAAACCCCAAAAGGCTCCCAATAAGGCGGAGGCTGGGCCTCCCGAGCCTTCTTATAAACCGCTCCGCAACATGAGAAAAGGTTTAACCCCTTAGGGCGTGGGCCCGAGTCTCTATCAAGTTGGCTCTGGCCGGGGAGCCTGGAGCACCCTGGCCCCCAACCCACGCCAGCCTCGGCCACCGGGCCACACCCTCCCCCCGCCCTCCAACCCGGTCGCCTCCTCCCGGGCCGTGCGTGCCGCCGCCCGAGCCCCGGCCCCGCGTCTCTCTGCCTATCTCTTATCCTATACCGGCTGCAGCCGGTCTCCGCCGGCCTCGGGGGCGCGCCGCCGCCGACCATGTGCTGGGAGCGCCGAGCGCCTGCAAGGAGGGGGCCGGCCTGGTGCGCGCGCGCGGGCCCACGTGGATCGGGGCCGCGCAAGGCACGCGCCCCGCCTGCTGGCTGCCGGGGCTGGGGGTCACGGAAGGTAACCGCGTTGCCATCGCGAGTCGCCCATCCCCGCCGACGCCTCTGGGGTCCTTGGCCCGACGCCCTCATCCCCTCATCCGCGCGTGCCCGTGTGATTCCCGGCCCGATCGGAACCCGGCACTTGGCTGCCGTGAAAGCGGCAGCGCGATCGAGCTCGGGGCGATCGAGTGCGCCCCAGCACCCCCTCTCCGAGCGCAGTTCCCGGGTCCGCCCGCGCCCTGAGGATCTGGGGAGCCAGTGAGGAGGATGGGGAGGCAGGGGAGGCGCGCGTCGGGGCTGGTCCCGCGCATCGCTAGTCCCGGACTGAACAGGTTCCTTCCAGTTTGGGTGTGAGCAGAGCACGCGCGGGCTCCCGAGTTCCTCCTCCAGCCACCACTTCCCCCCAAAATTTCGTCAACTCGCGCGCCCCGCCAGTTCTCCTTCCGGGCATGGGGAGGGAGTGCTGCAGTGGGCCCCAAGGAGCCCGCCGCTCGTCTGCTGCGGGTGCATTGCCTTCCCCCCGCCTAGGCTGCAGGCGCAGCAGCCAGCATCCGCGCTGCGCGAAAGGGAAGGGAAAAGCATGGCTGAGTCAGCATCCCCTCTGCTCCGTGCGCGTGCACCCGCCTAGGCGGGAGGTGACAACGGCACAGGTGCAAGGCTACCTTACCCCCCTCCCCCGGGAGTCCTCTGTAGGGGATCGGCATCCCCACTTCCCCAAGCCCCCTGACTCCAAGGTCACTATGAACTAAATGGATGCTGCCCGGGAAGCTGGAGTTAGGAGTTTCTCCTGAGAACAACGTGCGCGTCTGAGGATTAGGGACAGTTCAGAGCCAGAGGGGGCGCAAAGTTGGTTTCCTGGACTCCATCTCACACCTCTAGGGGAAAATTTGGGAACTGCTCCGTCGCAAAGGCTGTGTTCTCTGCATTTCCCTGCAGATTTCACCAACTGGTCTGTTGCTTGGTTGTGGTTTAGAGAATGTCTTTCTGATGTTAGAATCTCGAGACAACCTACTTTGGGAGTGTGCCTGGAGGGTCGCCACTGGGAGGAGTCGCCAGTTGTAAATTTTAATAAAAACCCTTCCCTTGCTCTATGATTCCCCCGCCCCGCCCCATCGATTTGGGGACTCAGTTATCTAACGCTGTTAACACCCTGTGTGGGCTAAGTGGGGAGCAGGTGTATTTTATGCATAGTGTATTATTAAGGCCACTGCAGCCCTGCCAGGCTACCACAGAATAATAGCTGGCAAGTTTGTAGGAACAATTAGCACCGCTCACCCCCCAGCAGGGTCTCACTCAGGTAGTTCGGGCTGGCCTCAAACTTAAGTTTGAACTCCTGATCCCATTTTTGTTTGTTTATATTTTACGTGCACTGGTGTTTTGCCATGGGTGTTGGATCCCCTGGAACTGGAATTACAGATGGTTATGAGCTGCCACGTGGGTGGTGGGAGTTGAACCGGGGTCCTCTGGAAGAACAGTCAGTGCCCTTAACTGCCAAGCTATCCCTCCAGCCCTCCCCCCCCATCCTATTTTGTTGTTTGTTTGTTTTGCTAGCTTTTTTTTTTAATGATGTCACTAGCTAAACCAAGACAGGCCTAGAACTGAAGATCCTCCTGTCTCAGCCTCCCAAGCAGTGGGGGTCCCAGGCTTTCATTGCTGGCCTGTAGCGCCTAGGCTCCTGCCATCCTCCAGCCTCAGCCTGCTCCAGTAGCTGTGACTACAAGCACAGTACACTCTGCCTGACTGGAAATGGCATGCTTTAAAGACAGTGTCATACTATGTAGCTCAGGCTGATCTTGAGCTTGCAAATCTTCTTGCCTCAGCTTCCCGAGGGCTGAGATTACTGGCATGTGCCATGATGCCCTACCTTTTCAACATCTTCACTGTAAAAGTTAGACAAATGCCTCAAGTCCTAGTGGTCACCGAATGACTGACCCCGATGAAATCTGGCTGTTGGGGGCGGTAACAATTATGTATAGTTATTAATAATGCATTACAACTGTTTTATTGTAATTATAATTTTTTAAATATTTGTGTTGTCTTGGATGCTGAGTTAAGTGCCATCCATGTTGTTTTATTTGTTTCTTTGGACCCCCCCGACCCCCAACAGGGTTTCTCTGTGTAGCCCTGGAATTAGCTTTGTAGACCAGGCAGGCCTCCAATTTACAGATATCCGCTTGCCTCTGCCTCCAGAATGCTGGGATTAAAGAAGTGCACCACCGTACCCAGCTTGTTTAGGTTTGTTTGAGATAAAGGCCCCCCCCAAATGACCTTGAAATCCTGATCCTTCAAATTGACCTCTCAAGCGCTGGGATTATAGGTCCGCTCCATCATGCTTGGCTCATCCTTTATAGCCTTCTCTGAAGGGCAGGCATGATCCCATTTTAGAGATGAGGCATGTTGAGGCCAGAGCACTGGTCCAGTGACATCTGTAGAAACCCTCGGGCCTGGTTTGCAAAGTTGGCTTGGCCCTCTTGTGTTTCAATAATGGAGAAGTGGGTGGAATCCAGCCTTGCTGGCCACTAGCTGGTGACTTTTGCTATTGCCGGCTAGAGACTGGCCTCACGTCTTTCTCCTCAAGCCCTGCTGGTCCAGTGAAAAGATGAAGATCTCTGCTTTTCTCACTTCTTCAGGAAAGCACTGCATTGCCATGCTAATCAGCGCCCCCCAAAACAAAAATAACTTTGTTTAGTCCTAAATAAGAACAAAGGGACCTTTGCAGTCTGGGGTACAGGACCAGAAAAATCAGGAAATTAAGCTAAGAGCCGGGGCCCATACTGTCGGCCTCTGCAGTAGGTCAGTGGGAGCCTGTGCGGCAGGCAGAGCCCCCTCTGGCTCTTGCTTTGCTGTCAGCATCTTCTAGGGGGAAAACAGCTTCCTCAGAGCTGCCCCGGGCTCCCTTTTTCTTCCCTAGCCCTCTGGCTTAGGGTCATTTGCATGCGAACAGATCCCTTTGTGCAGAGTTGGCCTGCCTGTTCCCTGTCCACACTTATAGTCCCTCAAGTCTTTGGGTTGGGTTGCTAGGCAGATATGACCCTAGCTTGCAAATAAGCTCACCGCTTTTTACCAGCCTGTGAGAACTTCATCTTGGGAAGTAGACTGAAAGGAATCTCCCCTGGGGTTCAGAGGGAGGGTCTTGCAAGCCCCGCTTTGGGCTGCTGGGTCTTCAGGGTAGGCTCAGAAGAGGGGAGTCGGTGAGGGGGCTATTAGGGAAGGCCTTGGTCCCTCATAGTTCCCCCTTTCCCTCTTCCTGTCTCCATTCCACCCACCTGACGCCTACCTAAGACCTTACGTTCTGCATGAGTGGCTTAGATTCCATTATAGTTCATTCTCGCTTTAAAACGCTAATATCCGTTTCTCTAGTGGGCAGACATCTGTGTCACCTAGGACTCTTCAGCAAGTTCAAATGTCCAGGTAGAAGGGCTGTGTGTTTATCTTGGGGAAGGAGGGAGGGGAAAGTCCCCTGAGGGACCGTGAATATTTGGAAAGGAACTGCTAGTGATGGTGTTACAGAACTTCGGGTCACAGTCTGTACCTCAAAAGGCCAAATAGAGCAAGCCGTCCTTAAGGAGCCAATTAAAGCAGCTGGATTAATAGAAAAGGGAGCAGGAGCAGGGGGCAATTTAGTCAACGGGATCACATTGGAAAGAGGAATAAAGCGATCCAGTGATGCCCTGTCTTTGACTTAAGTCCGTCTTCAGGGCCCTGAAGTGAGAGCAAAGTTTAAATACAGGGCCAGAGACACCTAAGCAATTTCTCTCTATCTGTGATGATGCCCATCATTGTCTGAACTGCATTCCCACCCCGTAAGGTGGTCTGACCAGTTGTTACATCTGGGAGACAAGTTCTCCTGAGTGGTGTCTCTTCCTTCACCCAGCATGGGATTCCTGGGCGGGGCGGGGGGGGGGTGCCCTAGTTTTTGAGGTCCATTGTTTAAATAGTTTGATAGTTGGATGGAGAGAGGGTATCGTTATTTGTGCCTTGTTTTTTGTCATGGACAAGGATAGTGATGAAAACAGGGGCAAGACAAGGATCCCCAGGACACAGCAGGGATCTAGGAGTGAAAGTCTGGGGGCTCCCTGCTGTGCTTGGCACCCAGGAGGTGTCCTCCCAGGGAGGATCTTGGGAAGTTTGTTGTTTGTGTATGTGTGTGTGTGTGGGGGGTGAGCCAAAGGAGGGTTGCATGGAGTGACAGGAAGCCAGGAGTGGGTGAGAGCATGCTGTATTTGGGGACAGTGAGGTCACTCCCAGCAGTGGGGGCCTGTGGTGATGCGTGTTCTATCACACCCAGTTATCACTCGGTGCCCTATTGATGACTTGCCCATCCACGGCTGTGTCTCATTAAGTCTGGAGCAACTTTGGTTTCAACACGCACCACTTTTCTCTCCCAGCCTCCTCCGGCTCCCTAGCCTA